GTCCAGGGTGTTACCTACCAGTGGGTAACCAAACATGTTTACCAACTCCTAGGAGGTTAAAAACGTCCAGGATGTTACCTACCAGTGGGTAACCAAACATGTTTACTAACTCCTAGCAGGTTAAAAACGTCCAGGGTGTTACCTACCAGTGGGTAACTTAACATGTTTACCAACTCCTAGCAGGTTAAAAACGTCCAGGGTGTTACCTACCGGTGGGTAACCAAACATGTTTACAACTCCTAGCAGGTTAAAAACGTCCAGGGTGTTACCTACCAGTGGGTAACCAGACATGTTTACCAACTCCTAGCAGGTCATCCAGTGAGTTATGAGCAAGGAGACGTATAGTGGCTGAGGGGGAAATATAGATAACAACACACATGGAGGATTTCCAAATGCATGGAGACACACGGAGAAGAATTTTCCCATATGTGTAAGGATAAAAGAAAAAGAAAAAGGTTGCAACAGGGGTTGGGAGTTATCATCGTGTGTATGCCTATATATATATGATAGAGAAAAGAATGATGCCCATCTATGTTGGTACAACTCCTATCTCTTACAATATTACAGGGAGTACATACGCTTATATGTACAGGTGGAGTGTGCTCCCTGTATGTAGTAATATACATTAATTTGGGGGTGGGGGTTAATTCACACGCACACACAGAAACATTATCTCTGTTTGTGAGGTTAAATGAAGAGATATACCTTTCGAAAATCAAACACCCATTATATCTTCAAAAGACATTAAGGTATAATATATTAGTTTTTTTATATCAATTAAATATTTATATAATTTATACACCATGTTTTAAAATGCGTGCGATAGTTCGTATATTTAAAAACAATGATGGTTCTGAAGAACATATAGTGTATTAATATACTCAGATACGACTTAAATCACATACAGACATTATATATTTAAGGATCCCTGCCCCCACTGTTACAGTTTTTGCATTGGAACAGTGGTCCTTTAATGAATCTGTAACATTTGCACTCATGATAGATTAATAAATAATTTGAAATCAAACTTAGCATACAAGACATCTTTTAATACATTAAACGGAACTTTAGTCAACATAGAGCTGGCCCGCTATAAAAAAGAAATCCTAATCGATGTTAAAATCTGACAGCTCAGTTGTTTAGGACAGAAAAAATACCCGTAAGTATCAAGACTCGTTGGAAAACAATTCCACGTCAATCATATCCGCGGCTGTTTTGTTGTTTTTGATGTGCTTCTCCTTTTCACAGACAATAATTCAAGTTACAGTAAGTAACGCTAAACTTTTGCAAAGTGTATTCAATTATGCATTTTTCACAGTAAACGAGGAAAAAATAAAAATGAAACCAACTCACCTGTCTGTGGGCCGTGGGTGGGATTCAGTCCAGATCCTCTTGATGTTTCCATAGAAACGCTTCGTATAGCATATTTAAACCCTCCGGCGTTATCTAATTAAATGAAAGTTATGTTTTTAATCAAATACACCCATCAAGATACATGTAAGTATATCAATATCAATATGAAACAACGAGTACTGAAGTCATGCATAGTTATCGTTTTGTTCACTTGTATTATACAATTAATTCTTTAAAATTGTGAATAATGTTGACGCGTATACGGTGTCTGTTAATAACTTAATTTTGGCTAGTTTCCGACGGCTAGACTTCTCCGGGTTATATCGTATAACCTTAAAAAAAACCAGACAGCACAAAAAGTAATGACGCCGTATACCGCAATGTATGACGCGGTTTTTGTAATGTTAACTTTTGTTTTGTTGAATTTGCTCGGCGATGAAATCCCCACGCAATGTTATGTGTTGTGCAAAATTGTTTTGCATTTTTCAGAAACCTATCTATATTCGCCTATTTTAAACCAAGAAGTGTTACCTATTTTTTTTCAATAAAATGACAAGGGTAACTGTTATTATTTTTGGGGTAATGGGATATATACCGAAGAAAACGGTGTACACTTGTTGCAAAGTGCACACAGTTGTTTTCGGTATTTACCGTATAATTTAAAAAAACAACTTATTCGTAAGTGTATTGTTGTCAAGAAACAACATATAGGATCATTGCCCTTCGTATTGTCGATGATTTCATAAACGAATTTTTCATCAATAATGGTTTATTCTATTTCTACATATGATGGTTTAACCCAGTGAACACGAAATTACCGTTGTCTAGGTCAGCCTTCATTTCTCTTCCAGCCTGGACACTCTGGTCACCTGACACATCAGACAACACTATCTGCACGTGACCATCCGACATCTTGGATACAATATATTGAACATCCTTATAATTATCATTGTCGTCAAGGAAACTACGTTGTAGGCCATCTCGTAAATCCGCAAACTTGAACCCAGTTCCATATTGTACTGAGAGTACAGCACCTTTAATGAATTTTATTTCAGATAATTAATGAAACGAATGTTGAAATCAGAAAAAAATCATGTTCATTACTCCTATTCAAATTTTTGCAGTTTAAATAAAAGTGAAGATATTACAATGTACTATCACCGATAGCTTATGGACCGACTATAGCTGTTACATACATCAACTGCCCAAAAAAGGGAAATTTAGAATGATACACGTGTATGATCGATTTATTCTTTGTTTTGTCAATGGTAAAGTGTTAGGCCTATCAATTTCCTTTCCGGACATAGTTTCCATACTTGTACAAATACTGACCACATATTTCACAGCAGGAACCGGATGGACGTATAGGTTGTTTACAACGAATCCGTGTACAGTAGGGACTCCGATATTTACATATACGCCGTAATATCTAAAACAGAAACAAATATATCGATGACTTCCTCCAGATTGATACACGTATTTCTTTTCTTAAATCATAAAATCAATTAGCGTATTTATATATACAGGTTAGAGGACAAAAAGTCACCTTGATGATGCATGTTCATGTATTTGTATTGAAGTATTTATATTATTTTTAGAATATCCACTTACATCAAGTCCATCGTTTCCGCATGCGCAGCCAGTCGGATCCGTACATCTTCGTCTAGCAATTTGTACGGACGATCTACTTCCGGTACTAGGTGAGATTGGGAACATCCTCTTACCGTCTGTTGTGTTAAGGAATTGAGAGAAACCTGTGGTTGTGTAGGCCTACAAAGTAATACGATATTTCTTTTTGTGAAGATAACATTGACATGAATTATAAGAAGGACACTTGCAATGGCAGCGCGTGTACGTCATGTTTAATATTGATTGCAGATAATTATAAGACGCTAAAGGTGGACTCTAACTTCAGGTTTAGTTTTGACACTAACATTAAGCATATCGTTTTCAACAGACGAATGCTGCATGGATAAAATAAAAAAAGAGCTATATGGCAGTGTGCTTACGATATCTCCAGCACACATGCAGGCATACATACACAGGGAGATATTAGCCAGGTGGCATAGGACTAGTAGTTAGCGCCTGATAAGGCAGCTCCTGCAAATTCCTCAAAAATTGTATATATATGTACTGTAAAGCGCGTTAGAGTGGCTTATGTTAGCTAGATAGGACGCTATATCAAATGTTGTATCTTATTAGTATTATATTTACTCAATGGTTTATATAGAGGGTTAAATACAGGTAGATCACTTGAGATAGACGTTAACTTCATGGTTTTATTATCCAGGCAGATAACATCAGGAGGGAAAGTTATAATAACGTTAAAAAGGAACGCTTCCAAAGTATGCGTCTTTAGGAATACCTGACATGTATAGGCAATAGATATATGCTAATTGTCCACAAAGGACGCTTACTGTGGGGTTAGATAGATTGTATCTATAGACAGGACACTTACGGAGGACGCTTACTGCGGGGTTAGATAGATTGCATCTATAGGCAGGACACTTACGGAGGACGCTTACTACGGGTTTAAATAGATTGTATCTATAGACAGGACACTCACAAAAAGGCTTACTGCGGGGTTAGATATATTGTATCTATAGACAGGACACTTACAACGGTCGCTTACTGCGGGGTTAGATAGATTGTATCTATAGGCAGGACACTTACGGAGGACGCTTACTGCGGGCTTAGATATATTGTATTTATAGACAGGACACTCACAAAGGAGGCTTACTGCGGGGTTAGATAAATTGTATCTATAGACAGGACACTTACAACGGTCGCTTACTGCGGGGTTAGATAGATTGTATCTATAGGCAGGACACTTACGGAGGACGCTTACTGCGGGCTTAGATATATTGTATTTATAGACAGGACACTCACAAAGGAGGCTTACTGCGGGGTTAGATAAATTGTATCTATAGACAGGACACTTACAACGGACGCTTACTGCGGGGTTAGATAGATTGTATCTATAGGCAGGACACTTACGGAGGACGCTTACTGCGGGGTTAGATATATTATATCTATAGACAGGACACTTACGGAGGACGCTTACTGCGGGGTTAGATAGATTGTATCTATAGACAGGACACTCACAAAGGAGGCTTACTGCGGGGTTAGATATATTGTATCTATAGACAGGACACTTACAACGGACGCTTACTGCGGGTTTAGATAGATTGTATCTATAGACAGGACACTCACAAAGGAGGCTTACTGCGGGTTTAGATATATTGCATCTATAGACAGGACACTTACAACGGACGCTTACTGCGGGGTTAGATATATTGCATCTATAGACAGGACACTTACAACGGAAGCTTACTGCGGGGTTAGATAGATTGTATCTATAGGCAGGACACTTACAATGGACGCTTACTGCTTTATTAATAATGACTTAAATAAATAGGACTCTCACAATGGACGCTTACTGTAAAACAAATAATGACAGCAAAAGACAAACGCATAGATCAGATATGTATAGGCAGGACGCTTACAATGAACATTTGCATCAGGAAAAACCCGGAGGAGTTAGGACACCTAATGGACGCATACTTCAGGAAAATAGGAACAGGAGCTAAACATATCGACAGGGTGTGTACAACCGCTTCCAACGTCTACCCCAACAACTTATATCAATACAATATAATCGAATACGAGGTGTTAACTCTCTTCCCTAGGATTCTTTCTTTGTACCTGACTTTTATAACTACATAGGTCAAGTAGTTATCAGCAGTTATCTCAGAGAACTCGCACATTACAGTAACACGTAGTGGGCGCATTCATTTCTGTGTTCTTTATCGTATCAGTTACTTACAGAGCCTGTAATCTTCAAGGTATTTACTGATAGGGAAAGTCCGGATTCTAGGTTGACGAAATACGAACTCATTTTCGGAAATACCACATCATCGGTCTTGCATGGAGTCTGCTCGGAGTCGAGAAGAGCTAGAGATTTGCAACTTCCGGTTTCCGTGTCAGATGGACACCAGTTTGCATAGTCTAGCCAATCTAACGCATACGTCAAGTTGTACACTATCTCTGTGGATAAAGAGTGTGGGAAAATGTGACTACAAAAGTAATTTAATTTTCCTTTCCTTTAAGATCTTAGCAAACTCTACAGATAACTGTATTATACATAAAATATTTCTGTTTCCTGTATTTTTTATCTATAACTTTGCCTTGTCCCCTTTATATATTTCTGAACTTTCATATTAAACGCATGTGATATAAACAGAGCCCTAGACAACTACTTAACCACAGGTGAATTTTAAGCGGCTCACGCGACAATGCTTTACTCTACCATCGCAATTCGAATGTCAGCCAAAATGAAAGACGATGTTGCTAAAAGTGTGCAAGATATGTTATAAATATAACATGAAAAAGCAAAACTTAGCTAATTTCCTCCAATGGCCGGACAAACATGGCAGCCAGTAATTGTTATTCAAGAAGACGCTTACCGCGATGCATTTTTTTTCTCTCGAAATTGTCCAATATGTTAAGAACATGGGCCCGTATTCATGAAGCTATTGCTAATGTTTGTATTCTGTGTTCAAACCAACTTCCGTATGATATGACATGGACAAGTGTAGATATAAGAAACGGTATTCCGATAACAGTCTCCCCAGATTCTTCCAAATTATTGACAAAGTGTGGATATTTATATACTTTATCACTGGAACAAGAAACTGTACGTGAGCACATATTCTCAGTTTGAGCATGATAATGGTTTCATGAATATGGCCCTTGTCTGACGCGGAAATCGAATCTACATCATCTTCTATATAGCGTGTTCAAATGTTCTATAACCAGAACCTACCGGGGACAGTGTACATACGCCATCCATTATACTGCTCGTTCATGAAAATATCATTTCATGTTATCAATCTCACATCTGTTTGTTTGTACATAATATCAAATTTCAAATTGATAATTTCTTTTTTCTGGTTTGCTATATAATCTTGAGGAACAGCAGCCATATCTATTACATTTCCATATCACTGTTAAGTAAGCGAATGCTGTTAAATGATTGATTTGACCACTTACCTGAACCGGAGCTGAGACATCCCGCACTGTGGTCCGGTTCATTTGTAAAGGCAAGTGTACTTCCAGATCCAAGTATCATCTCGCCGTTTTTTGGTAATATCTTTTTTTTTAAAATGGACAAAAAAATGAAAATAAAAGCTCGCTGCAAAATGACTGATTGGTGTACTTCTTGATATCTCATTGATATATTCTTTCTCTAATTTTCAACGGAGCTTTCACAACCATTAATATTACATATTACGAGAAAAAGGATCATGGCGTTGTAAATATTTAGCATACAAACACATATTAAAGAAATACATGCCTTCTTTTCATAAGTAGCTACACGTATGTATAATTGGAGAGTTCTGCAGATTTAAACAGTGATATAAAAGAACCCCCCCCCCCCCCCCCCCCAAAAAAAAATCAATTGGCAGGAAATTGATATATTGGTAAAACAGTATTTTTAACGTGATTTTTATACAAGCAATATAAAGCGGTTTCTGTACTCAAGAGATGAGGTTTACTCACAATTTGCTGTAGGGTCGTGTTAACCTGAACGTATATGGCTGGGCTCTCTTCGTGAATCACAACTATGTCGTCACCACATGGTTGTCTCCCTTTGTCCCAGTTACTAGGGTTGCCAAAGTTAGCATCTGACATCCATACCTTGTATAAACATTTTGCCGGAGAATTTCCTAAAAAGGAGGAATTGAAGTAACGTCATCATGTATTAATGTCTAAGTCGAATCTCTGATCCCCATCCCCTCCCCCACTTCCTCCCTAACCCTCACCCCGTAAACTACCTGATGGATATACAATGTAAAAGTTTCATGACTTGCTTTTAAACTAATTGTCCCCTCTTGTAGACGTTTTGTACTCTAAAACTGTTCAACACGTGGAATTTTCGAAGAGGCTCTTGGTAAAGATTATCGAAAAAATATGATGAGCAGGCTCAAGTTAAATGAATGTTTCTAACCTTAAAAACTCCATAACTCAAAGGGTTGTTTTTTTGCAAGTTTTGAAGTTTCCTTAACTAAGAATTTCCTCAACTCAAAATGTAAGACTTAGTTAAGCACTGGACCAATATACCTGTAGACACGTAGGTACCTCGCTAATCCGTACCTCGTCACGCCTTACGTTTGTGCCAAGGAACCAGGCACACTCTGTACCAGCGAGTTTTAAAACACCATTAGCGACACGACAGTGCCGAGCTAAGGACATTGCGGCTTATAAAAGCTGGCGCTTCTTTGCTAAGGCTCTCTGTTTCTATTTGATCTTTGTTTTATCAATCATCTGTGTATCTTGGCTAACTTTAAGCAATCGCCGAATGATCCAACGATAGTTTGTAGTAAGTGTAAAATCATGTCAAATTATTTCAATTTTTATTGTTCTTAGTTCTAACCTGTCGTCGGAAATCTAACCCCATGTACACAGGTGTGCATAGGGATCGTTTCGAATCTAAGAAAATCATCATTTGTTTTTGTCTGATTTTGACAAAATAATCTGAAAATGTCACTTGATTAATACAGAGTGAAAAGGATGTATCCAATATTTATATATGGGGATATATAAGCTCGATATTTGTACCTTTCAATTCAAACTATTGTAGATTTGAGTGTTAAATTCAAATACGCCTGGCCATCAATTTAATTAAGGATTGAATCTCCCCAGTTCATGTTGACCTTGTTTTAAAACCAACTCAATTCATCACCCCATGAAATCGACTGAAGCAAGATTCAATACTAATATTTCAATCAACATGTGTTTTTTTTCAATAATTAGATATTTCCAGATCTTGGAGCTTTTGCAAGTCTACGTTTTGACATAATGTAAAAAAAAATATATAGTTCGTCATTGAAGGTCCATTAATAAAAGGATGTTGTACGCTGATAGTTCAATACAGCCAAATTATGAAAAATATAAAACACAAATACATATTTTTAATGTCATATTTAATTTTGTTGATGAATGCATATGTTTAGACATTACATTTTCTGACGCGTCATCGCGAATTTCTAGTGCAGTACATGGATTGTGACTATTGCTAGCAACAGCTGCTAATATTTTGCTGATTTATCGTTTTTGGTTGCTCGAACAATTTCTTGTGTAGTTTCAATCAAATTGTAAAATCTCACGCAAGTGGTATGTTTATTTAAAAATGTCAATAGTTATCTCCCTTCGGAAATTCTGAAAATATATGTTCATACGCACAGGCAATGTTAATCTGGTCAATTTCATCGGCAAATGAAACAGGTAACATTTGGTAGTTGCACTGGGTCCGACTTGAGTATAAATTGAAATATTATGTAATAAAATTTTAATAAATTTTATGATTACTAATCAGTAATTAAACGCTTATTAGAAAGTGAAACTTGAAAAATAAAAATGTATACATGAACCACACAAATAGAAACAGGTTTATTAAAGGGAATTTAAATTCATTTATGGCTAGGATTAACGACAGATAGAAACATTAATTAGTTCGTATTCGACATTCTAAATACGATGTACAAACGGAACATGTCAGGTATACGTTGTAGCTAAAGCATAATTATTAATCATGTTATTACATTTTATATCATTTCTTGTTGAAAATAAGAATAAGAAAATAATCTTACCTATGAATATCAGAAAGAAAACGCTGGTCACTCGAAGAAGTTCCATTGTTCCAATGTTGAATCAGCTTGTTTGTACTGTATGTCCTATGTTTAGGGGGCGTATACTCCCGCGACTAAATTACCCTGGTGTGTATTAGTACCACGTCGTATCAGGTTCAGTAATTACACGACATGTACTTCAGCGATAAGCATATGCGACCAAGCTGTGTGCTAATTTTATTGATATACAGATAAGACTCACAAAGTGTATCTCATCACTATATACAATGTAACTACAATTCTCGGTATAGAGCACTGATATAATAGGTATCAAATCACAAACAATTACGTATTATGTAACTATTTTCTTTTATAACGTATCTCAATATATTTCACTTTTAAGTATGTATTGAATTGAAGGTAAGTAGTTATTTCAAAAAGAGCACACGAATTACAAGGTACATGCTATTGTACACTGTATCACGGAACAGTATTCTCTCCGAGCCTGTGATGAAATGCATAATATTGTTTTTTAACAAAACGTCCTAGTAAAGCACAGTACGTAACTATGTATTGTAAGGCGGATGGCATACCTACATGTATGTGTATAATACATTTAACTTTGTTACCTTCTATGCCACTTGAAGTTATATCGTAACATATTCAAGTCCATCTACATTTTAGTCTAGGTGTTTAAGTTTATGTGTGTTAACTTCTTACTTACTTACTGCCTATTGTATTTCAGTGTTAATTACTCACCAAATGTAGTACATTTGTATCTTAATATGAGAATCCGGAGCGGAGCAAGGATCCGTTATTGGGGATCATTTTGTTCAGCTTTCATCACCACACCTCTCTTACATAAGCTAGTGTTAAACTGGAGAGCTAACCAAGGGGAAGTTTTATGGCTTTTATCTGAGTTTATCATTTTACGCTTTAACTCTGACGTCCCGTAAATACCAAGCCATCCTATACACTGTACGTGTTNAATACCAAGCCATCCTATATACTGTACGTGTTAGGATAAATACCAAGCCATCCTATATACTGTACGTGTTAGGATAAATACCAAGCCATCCTATATACTGTACGTGTTAGGATAAATACCAAGCCATCCTATATACTGTACGTGTTAGGATAAATACCAAGCCATCCTATATACTGTACGTGTTAGGATAAATACCAAGCCATCCTATATACTGTACGTGTTAGGATAAATACCAAGCCATCCTATATACTGTACGTGTAAGGATAAATACCAAGCCATCCTATACACTGTACGTGTTAGGATCAATAC